AGTGAAATGGAAAACCCATTTCTAAGAATCCGGGTTTATGGCTGGTCCATTATCTCCATCCCAAGTTAAAGAATTTGTTGTAAAAGATTCTGCATATTACCAACACAGGGATCATCATGGTCAAAAGGACAAAACGGAGCAAACATTTTCCGACTTTTATTTTACACGACTTTTACCAAATAATGAAAAAGTTCCACGAGAAAAATGTTATTTATTTTTAACACTAAAACCCTTATCAGAGACTAGGTGGTCTAGCCGAATTGATGCAATTAGTCCTCTAAGGTTTCAATTGGGAGAAATATGTGATACTCTCTACGAAATATTATCTGGAAATAATTTTTACAATTCTTCGAAACATCTGGCAACATCTTTAGCAAGAAAGATAAAAAATTCAGTTTATTTGCATGTTAGTACTGTGGTACAACATATTAAATTGAGGTAAAATTGTTAGTAAAATTTTGCAAACAAAAAGTTTAACATGCCTATGGCTACTAACCACTAATTCTTTCAGTTTTACTAACTGTTTCAAGTTTCATTTTTACTAACCATGTAATAAATATATAGTTTTTATTTAATTGGCTTTTTGTCATAAAATTTAGAAAAAATATAGAACATAGTACCTAAAGTCTGGTTGACTGGACACCCACTATATTCCAAACAGTGGTTCAGTTCCACCAAGACTACCAAACCATCACTGCACCTCAAAGTGTTTTTTTTGGGGGGCTTGTTTATGAGAAAAACCCTGTTCCAGTCAACAATGTGGGAAAACAGTACGAATACCCGATGTATCTGGGCGAAGTGCCCGAAGAAGAGCTCTGGGACATAATCAAAATAAATGTTGGCGCAGTCACACTCATGTGCCGCGCCTTTATAGAAGACATGGCAAAGATGGGCAGAGGTGCCATCGTGAACATTTCATCTGGTTCTGAGCTGCAGCCTCTGCCTCTGATGAACGTCTATGCCGCCTCCAAGGTACCCACCCTGGCCTTAAAGCTTGAAAATCGGGCCCAAACTGTTTTTTTCGGTACTCTAGACCTACATCAAGAACTTCACACAGGCGCTGCGCTACGAATACGGCGATCGGGGAATAACCGTGCAACACTTGGCGCCGATGTTTGTGGCCACAAAAATGAACCATTTCAGCGAGAAAATCTACCAAAAAAGCCTTTTTGTGCCAGATCCGGAAACGTATTCCAGATATGCTGTATCCGTGCTGGGTAAGCTAGACGAGTCGAGTGGATATTGGGCGCATGGGATCCAGGTAAGGCTGCAAACGATAGTAGGCAGACTTCTCCAATTCTCCTAATTCTCCAATATTTCCCAGACATTCTTCACCACGCTTCCCCCAGTCTGGATCAGGATGTACATTGGAGGGTACATGAACAAGATATTCAGACAAGACTACCTGAAATCGGAAGCCCTTCGAGCCACGCAAATACACGTGAAGAACTAACGTCCATTCGGTGTTAAGTTAAGACCGCAAGTACAAATCCTGAAACCTGGAGGAGACCAATGATTGCCCCATAGTTTAGGAACGCTCTGTATTGTCATAATAAATAGTTGAAAACCCGAATAAAGCGTATAGCTGAAGATATTGATGTGCTTCAAGCCAGGAAGAAATTGACCCAAGAAACATGCAGGTGTATGCCCAGTTGCCTGCACGTCGGTACCAGTAGCAGGCAATTAAAATCTCGCTTCTTCACACAACCGGTACCGTTTTCTTCTTTCTGCAAGCGTGACGTCATGTGATCGCCGTTGCTTCCACTCCTGCACGCTAAACGATTTGGAGTTTTTGCAGGATGCTTAGGCGAGCGCATTTCGACTGAACATCCGTTTCTTCAGCTGGGCCTTCAAATCTTCACTCAAGCGCTTGCTGAGTATTCACTCGGTAAAACACTGAATAATTTCAGAAATGGAAGTTTGACTCAATTGATATGTGCTTCACTTGACTGTGCCTTCTTCAGTATTGGTTTCTTCGCCATTTTTTAAAAGAGTAGCGGTTGGTAGAGTTGGATCATTTTCATTTCTTCCTTGCTCTTCAATTTGGCACGGTTTCTTCCTTAATGTTTTCTAAGCCTTCTTCACTTGATTCTTCTATTGGCCCTTCTATTGCTTCGTTGCCATTCATCACTTGTACTTCCTCCTCACGAGCTCGTTTTTTTGCATCTGCTTCATTCTATCTAAAGGGACGGTTCTTTAACGCAACATAATTCTTCAATTAAATATTAATTTATGAAATCGTCATTTAAGTCTGACCTATTCTTCACAAAAATACTGCTGTGTCTTTGTCCTGTGACGTATCGAACAGGACTTCAGGACAGGATTTTCTTTGTCATCTTTGCATCTTCAGCATCTGCTTCACCAGTTTCCTATATAGATTAATTCGTTCGCAGCATTTGAGGTAAAGTTGAGTCTTCACCAAGAGAGCGTTGCGTCAAATCCAGTGGCGCTTCCAAGAAAAAACTTCTTCATTGGGCTTATTTTCTTTGCCATCCTTACGATGCTCTTCTTTAGCTTGTGCTTCGCCAGTTTTATAAATAGTTTCTTCCTTTGCCCTAAAGCCGGGATGGCAACCTATTCATTTGCGATCCTTCAAAGCAGCACTTACGGTAAAGTTGAGTCTTCACAAAGAGAGCGTTGCGTCAAATCCAGTGGCACCTCCAAGAAAACACTTATGTGGTTTCATTGGTGTTATTTCCTTGCCACTGTTTCGTCCTCATGATTTTCTTCTTCCACAGCTACTTCTTCCCTTCTTCATTAACTTGTTCAAATTTATTTTGTATCTTCAAATCAGCAATTTTTTGCGGCAAGTTTGAGTCTTTACAAACAGAGCGTTGTCTCGAATTCTGTGGCACTTGGAAGTGAGGACACTTGTTTTGCACCATTTCGCATCCTTGCTTAGTCCCCAGACTTCCATCTTCTCTATCTGCTTCATTCTTTCCTTAAGTATCTGCCTTGCTTCAGCTAAATCATCAGTCTTTGAGCTTATCGCACTGACATTTTCCCGATGAATCTTCTTAGGCAACGTTGTGCTATGTCTTCTTTTCTTCGACAGTACTTCTTCATCTTTACGTGACCTTCTTCATTTGCTTTCAATGCTAATGCGATGTGGGTCTTCAAAATTTCTTCAAATATTTCCACAGATGCTGACTGACTCATTGCCATAATTTCAAGTTTAACTTTAAGGCTCAAACTCTGCAGGTAAAAGCGCAGCTTCCAGGCCACAAACGGCAACTGCAGCAAAATAATTTTGAGCTAAAACTCCTCTAGTTCTTCCCCAATTAAGCTACTTGCTTTGGCACTTTCGGAGCATTTGGGCGTTGCAATGTCGCAGAAAAAAGGTCAAAACGACAGCGTGAAAACCTTGAGGAACCGATTGAAAGCCGATGACCAGCGGCCTAGTCTAAGTCTTGCAGGAATATCCGCAATCTTCGAGGTCTTCGACTATACACCAAGACGTTCACCCACTGGGCGCGCATGCGAACCGCTAATGGAAGAACGTATTTGGATTTCTTCGTTTCTTCAGCTGACAGTCGCTGGCTGATAATGCGAGATCGCTAATCGAAAGAATGGCACAGTAGAGCGACACTTCGGCAACAATTCCTCCGCAACGAGAAACGGAAAAGGTTCGGGGTTCTACGCGAAACATGAAATTTCAAACTAAAGTGGTGACCAAGTGACTTAGTGGTTCAATCAAAAGCGCCTTCCTGCGAATCTGCATGTTGAGCGACTAGAGGAATCGTGGAAATAGAAGAGGCAGTTAAGTAAGTAACTTTCTTCAATTGTCTGCTTGATTGAATGGAAATGGGTTGTGACTGGCATTGGAAATTAGATTTTTGCTCTTCGCTGCAGTTGGTTTCCATCCAATGAGCCAAACTTGACACATTTAACACTGAAAAGGTCAATTCTTGCATGCGTTATGTAAACATGGTCTGGCATTTCGAAATTGCTGATGTCTAGAACATCTTCAACTATCAGCACACTATTTGAAGAATAAAGAAATCATTCTCAAGAAAAGCCGCCGGAAGGCTGGGGAAATCTGGGGCCGCTGGAAAGGAGGAATCATCGAAAGATGATGGTCCAACTTTCGACCTATGACTAAGACTTTTTACCGGAAAATTTGCTGGGAGTCTCAGGAATTGCCCACTTTTGCAAGACTTACATCCGGATTCGTGGGGCCCAGTTGGGCAACGATATACAGTGCGTTCGTTCGATTGCGCGTTTGTGACACCTCAGCATTAATTTTCGTAATTGCGGTGCTTTTTCCTAGATTAATGGGGGCAATTAAAGCCTGCTGCTCCACATAGTTGCGCTGATTGAACAGGTTTCGACCAGATTGTGCATAACTTTGCGCCCATCCCTGGTAAATAGCGACCAGTTTTCCCACCCGATTTACATTAATAACTGTACCCATCGTAGATGATGATATTTATGGTGATGCGTCGATGAATGACGGCACAAAACAATGCTTAGGTGATACGTTAAGGCGCTTTCCTAACGGTTCAAGCCAGCAGAATGAAGGAAGGAAATACGGAGTTTTTTATACACGTGATGTCGTCGCACTTTTGTCTAATTAGAAAGTGTGCACTTTGAGGCAAAAAGAATAATTTGGCTTTGACACTCCTAGGCCTTGTCGATGAAATGGAAGGTTGAATGCTGACTCAGCGTCCAAACTTTTGAAATTCTTCAAGCGAGATTTTCCTTGCATTAACCGTATTATTATTTGAGCGAAAAATTCCGACGCCAGCTGGTAAATGTGGTAGAACCAGCCGCCAATATTAACCTACTTTCACTCGCGCTTTTCAAGCCGATACGATTTGCTATTTGGCTGGCGATATTTCATCAAGAAATACACCGTGATAGCCTCAAAAACCTCTAAAACAAATCGGCTGTCGAACAATGAAAAACGCGAAGGTAAAGAAGATTAGAATCGTTGGTAGTTTCCTTTCATTCTCTCGGCGGTTTGCAATTTTGCAACCGACAAACCAAATTTTTCCTCTCTTCATCATACGACCAACGATGATCATCTGAGGATGAAGAAATCGCTCTGATTCATAACGCATTGAACGAGCGAACGAAACGACATTGCATGGTGGTCGATTCCCATAAAACTTACAGCCCATGGGTAAAAATCTTCTGAGAACAATAAAAGCGGCTAATTCTCGACAATTTGATTGCTCTGATTCACACGAAGCACATTAATTTCCTATGTTGTGGGGGCTTTTTCGAGTATCAAAATTTACAATAATCCCTTGAATATCACATAAAGAAAAGCCTTAAAACATTAAGACAACCACTGAAAAACATCGTTCATAAGTTTGTGGATTTTGTCCCATCAGGCCAATCGAATTGGTCCAATAGACCGAAAAACGCCTTCACCTTCAAAAGCGCAACAACCTCTTAAAACTCCAATTAAAACATTATAAGAGACGTTAATGGCACTTTAAATAACCAACCGGCTCGAAAAGTGTCTTTTTCTCATTGGATGCTGCAAAATCAACCGGATCTTTGGTTAAGCCGATTTCAGTTTAGATGAGAATGCGATCAGCGCTTGTTGATCATTTGGCCATCGTTTGGTGGGCAAAAGGCAGCAAAGCAGTTACAAAACTCCCAATTGTGCCTAATTAATGTTATTTAGCTCACAAAGGAGACTTTTCTTGGATTTCTCGGTTGAAAAAACTAAAACTTAAAAACTTGCAAAGAAATCAATAATTACCGAACTAATAGAGCAAATATTTCTCTGTCCAATGGTGCCTAAAGTTTCCTTCTAGCTGCTGTTCATTTGGAGCAGCGACTTTTTGAAAACAAGCCTGATGTGACTGCCAGTAAATTCCACTGCTCATAGTCTAAAAATTGCTAAAAATCAACCAAACCCGCGAGGAAAACCGGATTTTCTGAAGTGATCAATGGCATTCGTTGGTTTCTCCTTCAAATTATATCCAAAGAAACACCATTTGAAAAACATTTACCCTGACGATTGTGACTGAAAATTAATACCTATTTCAATATTTTTTGCCAGGAATTGACGAAAATATCTAGGAAATCGACACGTGAAAGACTCATAGAGCAGATGTGATTCAATGGCCTCAAAAGCAAATTTTCCAAAAATTATCCTGCAGCGGTGACTGCCGAAAATGAATCAAATTGCCAAAAAACATATTTGAAAAACATTGACCCTGACGATTGTGACTGAAAATTAATACCTATTTCAACATTTTTTGCCGGGAATTGACGAAAATATCTAGGAAATCGACACGGGAAAGACTCATAGAGCAGATGTGATTCAATGGCCTCAAAAGCAAATTTTCCAAAAATTATCCTGTAGCGGTGACTGCCAAAAATGGATCAAATTGCCAAAAATCAACGAAAATTGTGACCAAATCGTGACTTATAGAAAACATTGACGAAAGATTTATCCATCAAATGATGTTTTGAGTGGGCATTTTTTATACAAAACTCTATATGCCGAATGTGGTAGAAAATCAAGTGCACCACCTACAAAATTCCCAAAAATCTAAGAAAATCGCGAGCAAATGCACACTTTTCTATCTAATAGAGCAAATATTTCTCTATCAAATGGCCCTAAAAGAAATCATTTAACTGTTTGCCATTTTTAGTAAAAATTTTTTTAAAAGTTTACCCTACCGATAGTGACAAAATTCATTGAACTATCTGCATTTAAAAATTGCCACAACTCGACAAAAAATTCTAGGAAATTGACACTTTCTATCCTAATAGAACAGGAATATCTCTATCAAATGGTGTTTAATGTAGTGTCCAAGCTGAGCCTTGCCTTGAGTGAGGAATTTTTATGCAAAACCCAATATGTCGAATGTGGCAAAAAATCAGGTGCAACAGCAAAATGTCTAAAATTGCCAAAAATCGAAGAAAATTGCGAGCAAATGCACACTTTTCATTCTAATGGAGCGAATATTTCTCTATCAAATAGCCCTAAAAAACAATCTAAAAGGTCGCCATTTCGAGTATTTTTTTTTAATTTACCTTGCCGTTAATGACAAAATTCACTATATTAGCATTTATTTACAAAATTGCCAAAAATCGACGAAAATTGCTAGGAAATAAACACTTTCTAATGTGATAGAACACATATTTTTCTACAAAATCATGTGTAAAGCAGTGTTTTCTTGTTTTAAACGGAAAAATGTTTCAAAAAACCCAATATGTAGAATGTGAGATAAAGTCAACTGCAACAGCAAAGTTCCTAAAACTGCTGAAAATGGACGAAACTTGCAAGCAAATCCCTCCAATCTAATAAAGCAAAGAATTCTGTATCAAATGGCCTTAAAATAGACTATCTAACAAGACGCGATTTTTTTTCAAAATTTTGGAAAAAGTTCGCCCAATGTAATATAAAATCAAATGCAACACCGAAGTTTCTAAAATTGCCAAAAAATCGAAGAAAATTGCGAGCAAATGCACACTCTCCAATCTAATAGGGAAAAGATCACTCTATCAAACGGCCCTAATCGAAACCATCCAACTGGTCGCCATTCGTAGGAGGAAGTTTTTGAAAAGGTTTATCCTGCATTAGTGACAGAAACTTAATTGCTCCATTCGCATTTAATAAAATGCAAAAAATCTACGAAAATGTTCAATAAGTGGTACAATACAACTTGATCTATTAATTTCAAATGCAACCTTCTGGCTCGTCCTGATGGCCCAAAATTCTATGACTAACAAAACCGAGCAAAATGGACAAAAAACCAGAGAAACCGCCGTTCAGGAACTGTCTGAAATTGCTAGAAAAAACGTCTCAAACCAGAATCTCAGACTTTTCACATTTACTTTCCAGTGGATGAAGTTGAAACTCTCCAGGCAAAAGAGGCAAGTTCTCATAGATCAAAACACAGTTCATTTGACGAAAAACCAGGCTCAAACGGCTAAGAAAAAACTCCCCAGTTGAGCGCTTTGCGAAGCCAAAAACCCAACAAATCGCCGTGCCCCAAATAGCCACAATTTTTTAGATTCAAATACCGTGCAAATTGTGCAACAATTAGTTAACAGAGCCTGAAAGTAGCGCAGCCTTATGTCACTCCACCACCACAACTTGCGACTTCCGGCGTTTTGACAAAAACATCGACCAAGAAAAATCATCTTCTGATTGGGAATTGGCCCGATCATCGGGCCAACCTTGCAAACATCGTCTAAATTGATCATCAGCAGCCGGCTTTATGAATATTAACCAGGGATGTGTGGCAATCGGGAATAATTATGATCGTTTCATAGTTTGATTAGCCATCATCGTTCAAGGCGGCAAAAGTGCAGCGAAGAACCCGAGTTATTTAACGCGTTGGGCAATCAATGTTAGAGAAAAACTGCGTTTGATTGGGCGGATAAAAACGGGCTTATTTTTGCTGTTAACAAGCGACAACTTTGGTTGCCCAACTTTGCCGCTCGCTTGGTTTTGGTCAGGCAAATCGGCAGGCGTGTTCTAACAAAATATAGAAAGCAAACTGCAGTTGCAACATTTGCGGAAAGTACACCGAAAGACAGTTCGAGTGGCAACAAAGACCCGATTGCAAGCGCGTTTATTGGCTGCCTTCTTTCAAGGAAACGACCAGCTTGGTTGCTGGGGCCCCACCTTATGACTGTTATTCCAATAATACCAATATCCGAATAAATAAATAAAAGGGGCGTTTGTTTTGAGGAATTTTATCTGGGACACACCCGACAGTCTGCGTTTGTGCCCCGAGCAAGACACTAATTAACATTCAAAATTAATTAGGAAAGCCACCACGTGTGGTGCAACATCCGACCTTGTACACACACACATTCAATCAAATTTGAAAAAATCTGCATTTTCAAGTCGGCAATTGTTTGCGCAATTGCTGGCCAAAACCATCTTGAAATTTTTCTCTTTTCAAATGGACGGTGTACGCGAAAAAATCAAACGGTTATAAAAATTATCTCAGCACAACCCGAGCGGCCCGGTTACCGTTAGCTGTGGTTAATTATCTGGCTGAAAGCGAGAGTAACTGTGAAAATGAAATTGCTTTCTTTCTAACCTGAGATGAACCTGAAGATTTCAATTTTCGGCCGTTAAACTCGACGTGCTTTGATTACTTTGATGCTGAACCGCGAATGACCGCAACTTTTTCCGGGACATCAACCATTATTATGTAATCGAAGGAAGATGTTGAAGAGCACAGGCCGGAATCTTTACTTGTTCGAGAAAATAATCCCTGTTTTCATCTTATTCCAGAAATGACTGCGAACATACGAAACGACAATAGTGACGACAATTTTTCCGATGATGAAAGCGCCCCGCTCACCGAAAATATTTATGGTGGAAGGTAAGTAACAAGCCAAAAAACCACTTTTAACTTTTAAAATTTGATGTAAAAAATAGATTATATGAAATATCACTCAAATCAAGGCGTAAAATCTACACAAATGTCCTTTTCTTCGCCTTCAAATTCAAACCACCTCAAATGTCCAGAGCGGAATTGTAAGACCCAAGTTTGCCAATTTGTTCCTAATCACCCTGTAGATTCACAGCAACGACATTTAAGAAACTTCAAGGAACTGTCATTCTTCAACTTTGTGGCAAATTTCAAGAGCCTAACTTTTCTAACTTCAGATTTATGAATGAAAAATAACTCGATGGAATAATGCAAAAAACCCAAGTTGAGGCTTCAAGTTTGAAAATTTGACAAAAACCACCCTGTAGACTCACAAAAATTACATTTAAAACACTGCAAGCGACTGTCATTCTTCAACTTTATGGCAAGTTTCAAGAGCCTAACTTTCCTAACTTCAGATTTATGAATGAAAAATAACTCGACGGAATAATGCAAAAAACTCAAGTTGAGGTTTCAAGTTTGAAAATTTCACAAAAACTACCCTGTAGACTCACAAAAATGAGGTTTAAAACACTGCCAGTGACTGTCATTCTTCAACTTTATGGCAAGTTTCAAGAGCCTCACTTTCCTA